CATACAGGTTTGGATCGAGTAAATCATGACCATTTTTATTTTGGGGCGAACTACCTCTCTAAAAACACATTATTTCGTCTTCGATAAATCTGTTTATGTACCTGGCAGACTCGAAAGCATTCAGGTCAGATTGAAAGAGAAATCAGATGCACCTGTCTGGAAGTAGGCCTCGGTTGCGGTTTGCTGCACAGGTGCGATGCTCGTTTGAAAGTACTGCTTGTTGTCGTAGCTGCTGACCGACGGCAGTCGACCGTAGCTATAATTCTCCTGTATAACCAAATTAATTTGGGAATAAATAAATGAGCCCACCTGAGAGGCATCATTAATATGAATGCTGCAAAGAGAAGACTGACCGGTTCGGTCAGCACCTGGTAGGTTTGATGGGGGGTCGTCAGCTGCGGAGACGTTTCGGGCTGCTGGTAGCAGTAGTTGGGGGCAGGATGGGGCTGGTAGGTGGGGTAGGGGGCGGTGACCGCGGGACTCGCCTGTTGGGCGGTGGGGTACGAGGCCGTCACAGCATGGGCCACTCCAGGGGCCGCCTGGATGCTATAGCTGCCCGAGGTTGGGTGGGAATAGACAGGAGGCGGCTGGGCACTGGATGGGAATTTCAGGATTCAGAATGAATGTGGTTTATATGCACCATTACAAGGGTCCAAAATACCATGGTAACAGTATATACTTCAAAGAACACAAATATAGTGCTTTCTGCAAGCATTTTTAATGCACCCTTTACAGTACAATGCAATTATATGGTAAAAGCATAGTACTAAATGGTATTAACATGGTACTACGAGTCTATAAGAACTAGTAAGTTATACTAGCACACGCATATTTCACTTTTCACGATATCAAAACATCATGCTAGCATCAATACACACATGAACAACAGCAGCTTATGAGATATTTGCGCACTGGCCGTCAGCATCTCGCTTAAACATCCGTCGTGGCTTTACGACTGCTGTAAATAAGCGTTTGTGTGTGTGTTTGTTTTGTACCTGTACTGCGGGCCGGCGGCGGCAGCTGCGGCTGCATGTGTGAATCCATAATAATTACTAGCCGCCATCTTAGAAACTTCGGCGGC